TATTTCATTTGGTCCGAAAAGAAAAAAAAATTTAATTTATTTTAAATGTCTCACAATCTATTAATTCACACTTTGTTATAAAATATGAATTGAGTGACATGAAAGCCATTAGAAAAATTTTATCACCTCGAGAACATGGGAAGGTTTCAATTCCCGTCATTGGAGTTTTCGAAATAATTTTAAAAAAAAAACAATAAAAAGAACTCATTATTGGGAAATGAACTCTAGTCATGAATGTTGATACTCAAACTTCTTACCACTATGCCAACACCCAATGGGGTAAACATTGTTTTGTTTTAAACAAATAAATATTTTAATTTATTTTTAAAAACTAAAAAAATAAAAAACTCACGAAAATTTGTATTTAAAAAGAAAAAAAAATAAAACCTTCTATTTGACAAATCTTTTATTTTAAAACAAAATTTTATTAACTTTGTAATTTGAGATTCATTGATTTTAAAAACAAAATTTGAATATTTTATTTACTCTCCTTTAAAAAGAACACCTTTCTTTTTCCTTTAAACATAGTTTTATCTGAATCAAAAGAAAATTAATTAAAATTTGAAACATAATCTTTTATTCACTTTTAAAATAGGCTTATTTAAATAAATAAAAACCAAAATTTTACATTTTAAAAACATTTTTTAAAGAATTAAAATAAAACAAAATCTTCTTTTTTAAAAAAAAAAACTTTATTGGAAAAAAAATCGTTATATTTTAAAACAAATGTTAAATATCAAAATCTTTTATTTTCCTTTCCAAACTTATTTAAATTTAGTTTAAGAAATTTTCTTTCCTATGTAATATATTTTTCTTGTAACACAGAGCGATTACGAGGAATACGAAACCCATTGATCATCGGTCAACAAAAAAAAACTAGAGGCACCCAAACGAAACAGTAAAAGCGCCACAAAAGAAACCAAAGAGGCTGCTAAGATTTCACCACCGCCTAGTTTCTCCAGCCTTCTTTGACGGCTAAGAGTCAAAGAGATTTTCTTTCCTTTTTTTCTTAAAAGGAAAACTTGGCTTATTTTGTAGGAAAATAAAGGACAAAATTGGAACCAGAAGGTAAAAACGTTGTGCCGTGGGCGGAACCATTGCCTTGAAAGTAAAATCGGCACGACCTTGGTGCTAAATTGTTTTACTGCCAATATGCTCCCCAAGGTTAACACAACCTCCAATTCAGACGTGAACTCATCAAAATTGGAGTTGAATAAATCTCGTGCTCATTAAGATAGTTGAAAGAGGTGGGAAAAGTGAAGGAATAGAGTGGAGATTAAGATTAATGGGATGATATGGAATGGTAGGGGAGTGAGCCTTTTATGGTGACAGAGTGGCCCAAAATAGAATTGAATTTTTAAAAAATAAAAATTCAAAAATGATTTTGGCCACCTATGTTTCCTTTAACTAGCCCTTTAATCTCTAAACTTGACATGTTTGCTTGACTTTCTCTCAATCAAGGTTCATCTATCTACATATCCAACAATTCCTCTGAGTTGGCCACGTGTCTTTTACTTTGTAGAAAAAATTTGTCCCAAAAAGAAAGCCAGGCCCAAGCCGGCCGGATGGCAGCGGCGGCGCGCGTGTGGGTCTTGGTCTCGGCTTGACTCACACCAAGTTTATAAGTCCAATACAGAATCAATGCTTATAAACCAACTTCTCAAAGGTTATTCTTCCGATGTGGGACAACAATAGGTTTTAATAATTGTCATTCCCTACAATCCCCCACGAATGACAACATAGTAAAAGAAATGAGTAAGAAGAAGGATGCAATAACTGAGCAAAGGATAAAAAACTTAAGTATTAATATCTTTCGATTTGAATTAATGCATAGTGAAGCATGGCTACAACCTAAGTAATGAAAGTGAGTTACCTCTTGAACTTCTAATATTTATAGTTGAGACCCCCACAACACGTGTGAATCCTCATTTTGATTCCGCGATAGTTGTCAAGTGCTTTTAATGGCCATGAACATACACATTGGATCATCGTGAAAGCTCTAGAAAGAGACTCCTCAACTCTACTCTTTCATAGAAGGCGGCCTTACCTTCACAATCACGTTTGTCGCTTCATCAAGTCTATCATAGATAAACCACTCAAAACTGAGCTATGAAGACTTTGAACATTATCCATCAAGCCCACGAATGGACCACCCAAAAAGGGCTATGGATTCATAGTGTTTCACCATATTCATCAAGTTCATTCATGGACCACCCAAAAAAGGGCTATGGATTCACATATGCTTCACTACATCCATCAAGTCCATACATGGACCACCCAAAAAAAGGGTTATGGATTCATGATAGTGAGAAAACAATATGGCTTGAGTCCCATACATCCCGAGGACTCCAGAATTACTCTGCTTGTTTGGCCTTTAGTGAGAGGATCTGCTAAGTTCCTCTTGGACCTCACATACTCCAAGGATATAATTCCATCTTTTAGCAACTTTTCACAGCTCCATATCTTAGACGTATGTGACGTCTCTTGCCATTGTACACATTGTTTTTTGCAATCTCTATTCCAGCTTGTGAGTCAGAATGTATGGATACAGGTACAGACTTCCCCCACAGTGGCATGTCTCCAAGAAGACTTCTCAGTCATTCAGCCTCTTGACCTGCCAGTTCAAGTACTATGAACTCAGATTCCATGGTAGAGCGAGTAATATAGGTCTGTTTTGCTTATTTCCATGAGATAGCTCCACCGCCAAAAGTAAACACATACCCGCTAGTGGAACTCACTTCATCATTATCTGTAACCCAGTTTGCATCACAATATCCTTTTAGCACAACAAAAAACTCGTTAAAATGCAAACAATAATCTATTGTACCCCTAAGATACCTTAGCAACCGATGTAAAGTAGTTCAATGATCTTTACCTGGGTTATGAGTGTATCTACTTAGTCTACTCACCCCATATGCAATATTAGGTCTAGTATAATTCATTAAAAACATGACACTACCGATGATCTTTGCATATTCGGTTGTGATACACTATCGCCCTGATTCTTTTTAAGACTCATGTTGGCATCATAAGGTGTTCTTACAGATAAACTATCAAAGTGATCAAATTTTTTCAACATTCTCTCAATGTAATGTGATTGACATAAGGAATATCCATGATCATTTTTCCTTATTTTTACACCAAGTATTACATCAGCCTCTCATAAATCTTTCATTTCAAAATGTGAAGAAAGGAGTAACTTGGTCTCATTAATGATATCTAAGTTTGAACAATAAATGAGCATGTCATCAACATACAGGCATATTATCACACAATCAGCTCCAAAGAACTTTGAGTAAACACATGTATCAGAGCAATTTACTTTATAACTATTGTTTACCAAAGTGCCATTAAATTTTTCATACCATTGTTTAGGAGCTTGTTTTAGGGCATAGAGAGATTTTTTAAGCTTGCAAATTTTATTTTCTTGACCAATAGCTAGAAACCTTCAGGTTGTGTCACGTAGATCTCCTCTTATAAATCACCATTGAGAAAAACTGTTTTTACATCCATTTGATGTATTACTAAGCCTTGAATAGTAGCCAAAGCTATCAAAGATCTAATCATAGCAATCTTGGTTACATGAGAGTACGTATCGAAGTAATCAATGCCATACTTTTTTGTGTAACCTACAACTACTAGTCTAGCTTTGTAATTTTCTATCGTACCATCTGGTCTCATTTTTCTTTTAAAGATCCATTTACACTTAATAGGTTTGTTTCCTACAGGTAAATCTACCAATTCTCGGGTTTGATTCATAACTATGAAGTCTAGCTCACTTTTAATAGCTTCTTTCCATAGACTAGAATCTAAGGCATTTATAGCTTCTTGGTAGGTTTTAGGATCTTCGTCTATCAAATACATGCAAGCGAACTGATCATCTATCTTGTCAAAGTTTTCTACCAGATAGGAAGTTAGGAAGTCAGGTCCAAAACTTTTACTAACCTTTTGTCTTTTACTTCTCCTAGGTTCAGAATCTATTGTATCATTAGATCTAGGTTCAAAGTCTAGCATATCAACAGAAGTGGAGGGCAACGATATGTATGCAGTTTTTGACGTAGCACCAAATTCACCATCAGTTCTAATCATAGGGAAGATATTTTCAAAAAATACAGCATTTCTATATTCACATATTGATTTGTCATTCAAGCTCATGAACCTATATGCAAAACTATTTTGAGCATAACCAATGAAAACACAATCAAAAGTTTGAGATCTAACCATAGGTTTTTTGAATGCTGGATATGCCACCTTTGCTAAGCACCCTCACACCTTCAAGTAGCTCAGGTTTGGCAAATACTCTTTCCATAGCTCGTATGGGGTCTTATCTAGCCTTTTGTAATGGACCCTGTTAAGAATAAAACAGGCAAAAAGTGCAGCTTCCCCCCACATATCATCAGATAGACCAGAACTTAATAGCATGACATTTATCATTTCTTTTAAAGTTCTATTTTTCCATTCGACTATTCCATTCTGTTGAGGTGAATATGGTGCAGTAAATTCATGTATAATTCCACTTGATTCACAAAAATATCTAACCGAATTATCACTATATTCATCACCCCTATCTGATCTTATCCTTTTTTTATTTTCTTGTCTAATTGGTTTTCTACTTTAGTTTTGAATTTCAAAAACATACTACTAGCTTCATCTTTAGATTTTAGGAGATATATTTTCGTATATCGAGAAAAATCATCAACAAAAGAAATATAGTATTTTTTT